CACTTCTTGGGAGGCTGAGGCATGAGAACTGCTTGAACTGGGAAGGGAGAGAATACAGTGAGCCGAGATCGCACCACTGCACTCCAGCCTGGATGACAGAGCAAGACTCTATCTTTAAAAAAAAAAAAAATTTCATTTTGTCTCACTGAAGATAAGCCCTTCTTACCTTAATTCTGGAAATTTCGAAATTCTTTTCTAGATGAAGCATTGGTTTTCTATTAAAACATTGCTGTAAAATAAACCCCGCAAAAGAAAAGTCAATGCAAAGGGACAAGGAGAATTTCTGGGACCATTTGAATAAAATGTCCTCTGAGACAGACCAAAAACTATGTTACCAAAGGTTGCAAGCAAAAAACACTATTTTTAACAATGAAAAAGCCAATCTAAATGAAAAAATGAAATTTTCTATGAAAAAATTTGATGAGGTGCTTGAACTGGATACGAGGCTCATTGAGACTGTTGGGAAATAGGAGATCATGTAAGAAAGCAGGACTGTTCCACAGAGTAAAGGCCTTTAGACCTGGGCCTGAGACCCTAGGATCTGGCCCAGCAAGCCTGATAAAGGGAGATTTGCCTCCTGCGGGGCCACAAGGATTCTTTGTGTAACTGCTAGATTGTTACAGAAGTTTTTTTCATTTGTGTTTACTTTATGAGCAACTGACAAAATGATGTTTATAAAGTCAGGCACATAGCCCCTAGCGAGACAGAAAATCAAAAGTTGTCAGTCAGCCACAGGCAGAGAATATAAGAATAATGTAAAAATATTTTTCTGATTTCCTTTACATTGAGCTAATTTTCTTGGGGCAGAGGAGGAGGTAACATTTGGTCTCCAAACCACATTTACAGTTTCTGAATAATGAGATTAATATATTTCACCCAGAATTATCCCAAGAGCCCTTAAATATATTCTTAATCTTTTGGCCAAGAGGGAAGCTCCTGTGGAACCCCTAGTTTTCTAATGGAAGAGACATCAGTAAGGCAGTATTTTAGCCGTGACCCATTTTCACATCCTCCACGAGAGACACAGCTTCTCCACAGCCCTCAGTAAAAGAGACGCCCAATGGGAGGGAGTCACTGTAGAGTAAGGGAAAGAATCTTAGCAGATTGGGTTCAAGTCCCAACTCTTCCATTAACAACTTGGACACGTTGCTTGATGTCTCTGAACTTTGATTCCTAGTCTGTAAAAATTAAATGAGATAATATAAGGAAAATGATTGAGAACCTGGCGTGGTAGAAAACTCTAGTAAACATTAGTTTTCATTCTCCCCTCTCCCCACAGCCCCCATAAGTGTGGCTCCTATTTTAACCTTTTCTTGACCTCTTAAGGGTGTTACTTTGAAAATTAACAGTTAACACTGATTTTAAGAATTAGCAGTTAACACCATGAAATTAGTAAATCCTAATTTCATAGGAAGTAAAGATGATTGAGTCTAACTGTCCCCAGGTCACAATGCTTTTGCATTATTGTATCTGTCTTGCTTCCAAAACTAGTGTCACATTTTGCTACTGCCTGCCTGTAAAATGGTCACCATTTTTCTCTTTTATATTATTCCTTCTCTTTCTATAAACCAAGAAACCATAGCTTGTTACAGTTTTGTAAAATTAGAGTCTTTATGGTCTGGATGAAAGCATCACTCTGCTCCCTTGGTTATGTAAGTGTTAGGTACTCAAATGTTAGATGAGCAAACGATTAAATAAATGACATCAATTTTAGTATCTCAGGAGTCTTTAATTTCCTGTTTACTCTCAGCTGTATTTTTAAAAGATCCAATTACTGGATAAAAAAGCTTCCAGATAAATGAAAGATTTCTAAGTACAACACATATATATAGTGTTTTATTTGAAATACTTCATGATAAAAAAACAGTACAAGATTGTTGGAAAAAAAGAAATATGAAAATTGGTGATGAATCAAGAACGCTGACATTACCTAGAAATGTATTACTCATATTCTTTCTGTGGTGTGTAAAAGAAAAAGGAAGTTGTATTTTAGAGGATTTGAGTTAATTTTAGAGTGTGTCCAGTTTAACACATAAATTACCTTCTCTCTGATGAGAGACCCCACTAATATTCTAGTAAATAAATGAAAGTCATGAACCCGCAAAGAGCACAGGAAAGAAAGGAAAGCAAATGTATATATGTTTCAGTCTGGAAAGCACATGATACAAGACAGTTGCCTAAACTAGCAAAACACCAGAAGGAAATTTGTGCCACAGAATCCCAGCAGGGCCCGAGAATTCAAGTTAGTGGCTATCTCAGAAAACGAGGGTGCAAGGGGGACTGCAAAGAGAAGAACTGGTTGAAAGTCTAAATAAAAGGCAGTTTAGGTGCCCTGCATGCCTTAGAGCCCATCTACTGTATGTCTAGCCAAGTGGCTGCCCCTGCCCAACCCTCAGAGAAGACACTAGTTTCAATCAAAGTTACACAGAACATGTGAACACCAGGCACAGCCATACAAAAACACTGTGATTTAGTGAAAACCTCTTCTCACAAAAGTGAGACACTGAGCCCTCTTCTCCAGTGAACCTCTGAAATTGGGCACCATGTTACATACTTCAGGTTTGTGGAGGATATAAGGTTTCCTTCTATATAGTGAAATTAACTGTCCCAGGAGAATAGACTTACAAATATTGAGAGCTGGGATCCCCCAGTGGAAAAGTGTGATCTCAACCTAATCACCCAAATTGAAACCTCTCACACAGAAGTTTGTATTCAGCTTCTGATTGATTAGATCCAGATTGTGATACACTGATATATTCGTTCATCAATCATAAACATGAACAAAAAGCCCAAGATAACGACATACTTGAGGAAAGCCTCCAACCTGAAACACATAAAAAAAAAAAAAACAGAGACTATGTAAGAAACAAAAGAAAATCTTTCAAAAAGTATAATTTCACAAAAATGAGAAGATACTGAATCCATGAAATAAAAAACAAGATACTACCAAAACATGCAGAGAGCCAAAAAGAGCTCTTGAAATTTTAAAATATAATTAATGAAACAAAAAACTAGTGGGACCAGAAAATAAGTTAAGGAAGTCTCCAAAGAAGTAGGGGGAAAAAAAAAAACACAAAAACGTGAAAAGCAAGAAGAAAAATTTTTCAAAATTAGAAGCTCAGTCCAGGTTCAAAATCCATCAGGAGGCCAGGCATAGTGGCTCACACCTGCAATCTCAGCACTTGGGGAGGGCAAGGTGGGCAGATCACCTGAAGTCGGGAGTTCGAGACTAGCCTGGCCAGCATGCTGAAACCCTGTCTCTACTAAAAATACAAAAATTAGCCAGGTGTAATGGTACACACCTGTAATTTCAGCTGCTCAGGAGGCTGAGGCAGGAGAATCGCTTGACACAGGGAGGCAGAGATTGCAGAAAGCTGAGATCGCACCACTGCACTCCAGCCTGGGCAAGAGAGTGAGATTCTGTCTCCAAAACAACAAAACAAAACAAAAAATCTAACCAAAAATGAATGGGAGGAAATTAGCAAAGACATAACGCAAGAAATTTTCCCAGAAATGAAACAAAACTTTCAAGTTAAAAAGACCACTGAGTTTTCACACAATAAATAAAAGATCTATACCAAGGCACAGGAAATTAGCCATAAGAAGATTCTAAGTTTCTGGAGTTTCAAAGTTTCTGCAGGGTATGCCCTCTTAGGAAGTTGCTAGAATAGATCCTACACCAAAATGAGAAAATTATATGGAAAGAAAAGGAAGACATGAGATCCAAGAAATAAGAGCATCTAACCTAGAGCTGCGTAGTAGGCCTAGAGAGCAACCAGTCTAGATTAGAGAAGGAGGGTGGCAGGTTTCAGGGCACAGAAAAAGAATCAGCAATCCCTGATGTACATGAACTTAAGAAATTTCATTTTGACTAGAAAGAAAAACAATGAAGTAGTGATACAGAAATAGGAAATACAACATATTGGGAAAAATGGTTATCTCAGTGAAACCAAAAATTTTGGACAGAAGGGTAAATATCATTAAGTAGATTAGCTGTGAATATTTGCACAGTCATAATAGAAAAAACAATATTATTATGCAGTCAATAGTCCTGTGTACCAGATGTTCTGATTCTTTTTCTCTTTCTAAGTACATGATAGAATGTCATTTCCTGGCTCCCTTCTGGTTGGGTGGACAGTGTGACTAGTTCTGGCCAATAAGTTGCTTGTTTTTTCTAAAGATCCTCCTTTTGGATCCAAGTGATCATTTATTCCTGTATCTTTGGTAGAACTGGTACAGATAAACGGTGAAAATGAGGCAAAGGCTGGTTGTCACTAAGTACATTTGTGGAATTTAATATTTTACCAAATATTTTCCCATTCATCTTCTTCATTGAACTTCAGAATTGTCTTGGAAGCTAGGGAGATAGAGAAAGTAAGGAACTTGTCTGAGATCATATACTGCAGAGGCAGGGTCCAAGCTCCAGCATTTAACAACCATGTTACTTCTTGTAAACTATACACAAAGCTGAGTGTGACATTGTGCACTACGAAAAGAACTATTTTGCCATTTAGTAGTAGGAAATGCAAATTTCATCCTGATAGAGGAATTCAGATTAGTTTTTTTTTTAATTCATTGTAGTAAGAAATAGTGCTGTCATTTTATCAATTGGTTTGTTTTCTTAGTTCATTTAAATTTTTAATATAATTTATTCAATTAAATAAGTATTTATTGAATACTTACTATGTGCCTGTGTATGTTCTAAGCCTTTTATATTTATTAGCTTATTTAATAATCACAAAAATTTTATGATACAGGTACTCTCATTATGCTTGTTTCATAGATGAGAAGTTGGAATTTTGAAATGGTAACTGTATCCAGGGACACCAGGTAGTGAGGGGAAAATTCAGATTTGAACTTGCAGTCTGACTTTAGAGCCAACACTCTTGAACATTTTAGATTGTCAGCATTACTTATGATTACAGAAATATTCTAAACCATCTTTGACCATTTTTGGTGGTTTTATTGAAACATATTTACTGTACTTCTTTTTCATCTAGGTTTATGTTCCAGATGAAAATAATACTATTTTGGGAAGAAATACAAATAAACAAGTTTTTGAAGGCTTGACAACTGGACTTCTCAAAGCTGGTGCTGTGGTTTTGGGCTGCCTGATTGCCAATCGACCAGATGGAAGCCACCAGCCAGCTTCACCAAAAATACCAACACAGGAAGTGAAAAACAAACCCTCACAAGGCGATGCTTTTAACAGTCGAGTTCAGGACCTTATCAGGTAAAATTCCGACACTTTTTTAAACGTTGTTCTTTGTTTAAAAATAACTATATTAATGTAAATCTCAAGGCCCATGTCATGGCAGTGGTTCTCACAATGCCATTCATAAATTTCTGGTAGAGAATACCAAGAATACCTTGTAAATATTTCTCAGATGTATCACCTCACTCCATCGCTGCTTTTAATACTTTACTTCAGATGTTCAGGCTCTTTTGCAGTAGCAGACAGTGTGTCTGTCTCTCTCCCCCCCCACTTTTTAAAAATAAGTCTTTTTCCTAATTATAAAAGGAATACACACTCAATGATAAACACAATTTGAAAAACACAGAAGAGCACAATAGATTTTTTAAGGCAGTTTTGTAGAGAGAAAGAAAATTCTTTTTTTTTAATAATATATATTTTATTGCAGTTTAGGTTCTGGGGTACATGTGCAGAACATGCAGGATTGTTGCATAGGTACATACACGGCAGTGTGGTTTGTTGCCTCCATCCCCCCGTCACCTATATCTGGCATTTCTCCCCATGTTATCCCTCCCCAACCTCCCTACCCCCTGTGGTCCCTCCCCTATTTCCCGGTAACAGACCCCAGTGTGTGATGCTCCTCTCCCTGTGTCTATGTGTTCTCATTGTTCAACACCTGCCTATGAGTGAGAACATGCAGTGTTTGATTTTTTGTTCTTGTGTCAGTTTGCTGAGAATGATGGTTTCCAGATTCATCCATGTCCCTGCAAAGGACATGAACTCATCATTTTGTATGGCTTCATAGTATTCCATGGTGTATATGTGCCACATTCTCCTTGTCCAGTCTATCATCAGTGGGCATTTGGGTTGGTTCCAGGTCTTTCCTATTGTAAACAGTGCCGCGATGAACATACTTGTGCATGTGTCTTTATAGTAGAACCATGTATAATCCTTTGGGTATATACCCAGTAATGGGATTGCTGGGTCAAATGGAACTTCCCCATTGCTTGTTTTTGTCTGGTTTGTCAAAGATCAGATGGTTGTAGATGGGCAGTGTTGCCTCCGAGGCCTCTATTCTATTCCATTGGTCTATATCTGTTTTCGTAGCAGTACCATGCTGTTTTGATTACTGTAGCCTTATAGTGTAGTTTGAAGTCAGGTAGCATGATGCCTCCAGCTTTGTTCTTTTTGCTTACAATTGACTTGGCTATGTGGGCTCTCTTTTGGTTCCACATGAAGTTTAAGGTGGTTTTTTCCAGTTCTGTGAAGAGGGTTCATAGGGAGCTTGATGGGGATAACATTGAATCTATAAATTACTTTGGGCAGCATGGCCATTTTCACAATATTGATTCTTCCTAACCATGAGCATGGAATGTTTTTCAGTCTGTTTCTGTCCTCTCTTATTTCCCTGAGCAGTGGTTTGTAGTCCTTCTTGAAGAGGTTCTTCATATCCTTTGTTAGTTGTATTTCTAGGTATTTTATTCTCTTTGTAGCAATTGTGAATGGCAGTTTGTTCTTGATTTGGCTCTCTGTTTGTCTGCTATTGGTGTATAGGAATGCTTGTGATTTCTGCACATTGATTTTGTAACCCGAGACTGCTGAAGTTGCTTATCAGTTTCAGGAGATTTTGGACTGAGACTATGGAATCTTCTAAATATACAATCATGTCGTCTGCAAATAGAGACAATTTGACTTCCTCCTTTCCTAATTGAATACCCCTTATTTCTATTTCTTGCCTAATTGCTCTGGCTAGAACTTCCAATATTATATTGAATAGGAGTGGTGAGAGAAGGCACCCTTGTCTAGTGCCGGATTTCAAAGGGAATGCTTCTAGTTTTTGCCCATTCAGTATGATATTGGCTGTGGGTTTGTCATAAATAGCTTTTATTATTTTGAGATTCGTTCCGTCAATACCGATTTTATTGAGATGTTTTAGCATAAAGCATTGTTGAATTTTGTTGAAGGCCTTGTCTGCATCTATTGAGACAATCATGTGGTTTTAGTCTTTGGTTCTGTTTATGTGGTGAATTACGTTTATAGACTTGCGTATGTTGAACCAGCCTTGCATCCCCGGGATGAAGCCTACTTGATCGTGATGGATAAGCTTTTTGATGTGCTGTTGCAATCGGTTTGCCCATATTTTATTGAAGATTTTTGCATCTACGTTCATCATGGATATTGGCCTGAAGTTTTCTTTTTTTGTTGAACCTGTGCTGGGTTTTGGTATCAGGATGTTGGTCTCATAAAATGATTTGGGAAGGATTCCCTCTTTTTGGATTGTTTGAAAGAGTTTCAGAAGGAGTGGTACCAGCTTGTATGTCTGGTAGAATTAGGCTGTGAACCCATCTGGACGTGGGCTTTTTTTGGTTGGTACACTATTAATTGCTGCATCAACTTCAGACCTTGTTACTTGTCTATTCAGAGTTTCAACTTCTTCCTGGTTTAGACTGGGAGAGTGCAAGTGTCCAGGAATTTATCCATTTCTTCCAGGTTTACTGGTTTATGTACATAGAGTTGTTTGTAGTAATCTCTGACGGTGGTTTGTATTTCTGTGGAATCAGTGGTGATATCCCCTTTATTGTATTTTATTGCATCTATTTAATTCTTCTCTCTTTTCTTTTTTATTAATCTGGCTAGCCGTCTATTTTGTTGATCTTTTCAAAAAACCGCCTCCTGGATTTATTGATTTTCTGAAGGATTTTTGTGTCTTTATCTCCGTCAGTTCTGCTCTGATCTTAGTTATGTCTTGTCTTCTGCAAGCTTTTGAGTTTTTTTGGTCTTGCTCCTCTAGCTCTTTCAATTTTGATGATAGAGTGTCGATTTTAGATCTTTCCTTGCTTCTCATATGGTCATTTATTGCTATAAATTTTCCTCTAGACACTGCTTTAAATGTGTCCCAGAGATTCTGGTATGTTGTGTCTTTGTTCTCGTTGGTTTCGAAGAACATCTTTATTTCTGCCTTCATTTCATTGTTTATCTAGTCAATAGTCAAGAGCCAGTTGTTTAGTTTCCATGAAGCTATGCGGTTCTGAGTGAGTTTCTTAATCCCAAGTTCTTATTTGATTGCACTGTGATCTGAGAGACAGTTTTTTATGATTTCCTTTCTCTTGGATTTGCTGAGGAGTGATTTACTTCCAATTATGTGGTCACTTTTAGAGTAGGTGTGATGTGGTGCTGAGAAGAATGTATATTCTGTGGATTTGGGTTGGAGAGTTCTGTAAATGTCTATCAGGTTTGCCTGGTCCAGATCTGTGTTCATGTCCTGGATATCCTTGCCAATTTTCTGTCTCATTGATCTATCTAATATTGACGGTGGAGTGTTAAAGACTCCCACTATTATTGTATGGGAGTCTGAGTCTCTTTGTAGGTCATTAAGAACTAGTTTTATATATCTGAGTGCTCCTTTATTGGGTATGTATATATTTAGGATCATTAGCTCTTCTTGTTGCATTGATCCTTTTACTATTATGTAATATCCTTCTTTGTGTCTTTTGATCCTTGTTGGTTTAAAGTCTGTTTTATCAGAGACTGGGATTGCAACTCTTGCTTTTTTTTTGCTCTCCATTTGCTTGGTAAATCTTCCTTCATCCCTTTATTTTGAGCCTGTGTGTGTCCTTGCATGTGAGATGGGTTTCCTGGATACAGCACACCGACAGGTTTTGACTTTTTATCCAATTTGCCAGTCTGTGACTTTTGATTGGGACATTTAGCCCATTTACATTTAAGATTAATATTATGTGTGAATTCGATCCTGCCATTTTAATGCTAGCTGGTTATTTTGCCCATTAGTTGACACAGTTTCTTCATTGTGTCAATGCTCTTTACCATTTGGTATGTTTTTAGAGTGGCTGGTACTGGTTGTTCCTTTCCATGTTTAGTGTTTCTTTCAGTAGCTCTTGTAAGGCAGGCCTCGTGGTGACGAAATCTCTCAGCAATTGCTTGTTTGTAAAGGATTTTATTTCTCCTTCACTTACAAAGCTTAGTTTGGCTGGATATGAAATTCTAGGTTGAAAGTTCTTTTCTTTAAGGATGTTGAATATTGGCCCCCACTCCCTTCTGGCTTGTAGGGTTTCACCTGAGAGATCTGCTGTGAGTCTGATGGGCTTCCCTTTGTGGGTAACCCGACCTTTCTCTCTGGCTGCCCTTAGCATTTTCTCCTTCATTTCAACCCTGGTAAATCTGACGATTATGTGCCTTGGGATTGCTCTTCTTGAGGAATATCTTTGTGGTGTTCTCTGTATTTCCTGGACTTGAATATTGGCCTGCCTTGCTGGGTTGGGGAAGTTCTCCTGGATAATATCCTGGAGAGTGTTTTCCAACTTGAGTTCATTCTCTCTGTCATATCAGGTACACCGATCAAATGTAGATTAGGTCTTTTCACATACTCCCATGTTTCTTGGAGGCTTTGTTCTTTTCTTTTCACTCTTTTTTCTTTAATCTTGCCTTCTTGTTTTATTTCATTGAGTTGATCTTCAATCTCTGATAACCTTTCTTCTGCTTGGTCAGTTCAGCTATTGAAACTTGTGTATGCCTTTTACACTGTTGGTGGGAGTGTAAATTAGTTCAACCATTGTGGAAGACAGTGTGGCGATTCCTTAAGGACCTAGAAATAGAAATTCCATTTGACCCAGCAATCCCATTACTGGGTATATATCCAAAGGATTATAAATCATTCTACTATAAGGACACGTGAACACGAATGCTCATTGCAGCACTGTTTACTATAGCAAAGACCTGGAAGCAACCCAAATGCCCATCGATGATAGACTGGACAGGGAAAATGTGGCACATATACACCATGGAATATTATGCAGCCATCAAAAACGACGAGTTGGCGTCTTTTGTAGGGGCATGGATGAACCTGGAAACCATCATTCTCAGCAAACTGACACAAGAGCAGAAAATCAAACACCGCATGTTCTCACTCATAGGTGGGTGTTGAACAATGAGAACACATGGACACAGGGAGGGGAGCACTACACACTGGGGTCTGTTGGGGGCAAATAGGGGAGGGACAGCAGGGGGTGGGGAGTTGGGGA